CAAATCCTTAAATGTGCTGACTTTCAGGGTTTTTTTCCTTTTTTTTCTCCTGGTGATAGGACCAGTAAGTCTGTTATTTTTCAACTTCCTTTAGCAGGCCAAGCTGTCCAGCAAATATGGCATATAGAAGATTGAGACAACCCATTTAACACTGACAGGTGTGCTTACAATGGTCAGCTTTTATTCATTTATGTAAAACCTTTATCCCAAAAGGAATAAAAAAAAAAACTGTTGCTGTAACTGCTTACAAAATATTAGCTGGAGTTTAGATTTAAAGGAGCTGTTTTGGGAGAGTTCCTCTTTCAATACTCAGAGATGGCGTGGGACATTGGGGCTGTTACATACCGACTTTATCCCGAGAGCTCAGCAATCATGTAACCGCTGATCGCCCTGCTCATGGGCTCTTCCCAGCAGTCACAGCTCCCCTTAGAGATTCCTTCCTTCCCTCCATATTCCTCCAGTGCTCTTTGGAAGGACAGACAGGGGAGGGGCGGGCACAGTTGACTCTGGATCTAGAGTGGCAGAGCCAGCTGTCAGTCAGGCAGCTGATGGACCCTGACAATATTGTTGGGATCCTTCCTGGATGCAGAGCAGCATTGTGCTGTCAGCACATAATGGGCATTGGCCGGCTATGTGGTGACTTTGGGTCACAGGAGTACATTAGTAATTTACTCTAGTGACTCAAAAGAGAAGTAAAGTTAGAAAAAAGGTTTGGCTTTACTTCTCTTTTAAATTGTTAAACAGGTCATATTGGCCAGGAAAAGGAACATCACAGTAATGTAATCCTAATCCTTCCCCACTCTATCCAAAGCTAAATAGAACATTTTGGCTGGAGTTGGGTTTTTAAGGGAAGATGGGTATTGTAACCAGCAGACTTCATCTGTCTGATTCTGTAGGCTTCAGGGCTGTATAGGAAAGGCTAGCATGCACTTAAATGAGCCTTAGGGGTTGGGGACGGCATTTGCATAGAATGCTAAGTCCACACCAGTGACCCTTAAACAGAGATAGCTAACTACAGCCAGCTGATTCTACAATAAAACTTTGCTATCATTACAAATCCTTAAACTGCCTGTATAGCCAAGACACCTATCAAATACCAATTAGAAGTTTGAGGATGTATTGTGCCAGTTGCAGCAAAGCTGTCCATCCATATATTGGAGATTTGGGCTGTTCAATACTTTTCCTTCGCCGATTCAACTGTTTGCGTATCCACGAAGGCCAAATCTTACAGATACAGCTGTTTACTACAGGTCATACTTGTCATATTGTGAGAGCAATAGTAGGAGCCAGTGATGTGCGGGGGCTTGAGGTGGACCAAGGTTGCCTGGGTTCTCCCAGGCCTGCACAAAATTGTCACTGACACACCTCCCTCCTGACCCAATCAGCTGTGGTAGGGGCATTCCTTGCCCCTTTGTGATATGTAGTGACGGGGCAGAGAATGCCCTGGCTTCAATGGATTTGGACAGGAGAGGGGTTTGTCAGTGATGGTTTTGCATGGGATGGGCAAACTTGGGTTGCACTAAGCCCCTGCACATCACTAATAGGAGCTGCTGCACAAAAACACATCAGTGAGGCCTTACCTTCCACCCTAGTAATTTAGGGGCACATTTATAAAGCAACTAATCTAACATTCACCAAACAGGTTAATCATTTTAGGTGCATGTGTTTTAATTGAGAGTAATGACACCAGTGAATGTCTGGTGAAAGTCAAATTCACTGCTTTATTAATATGCCCCTTGGTATCTGAGCAGGTATCTGCCAGCCTCGACAATGAGGTCAGACCATACATAGACCAGATACCATCAGAGAAGGTCTGAAATAATTTTCTTTGGCTGGACAACTTTACATAAGTACTAAGAACAGTGTTCTGCGCCACTTAAAAATGGTTGTTATCTTAAGTATTAAAGCCTTACATAATGACATTGCCTCTTGTTATATATGCAAATATTTCATATTTGTGTTGAAACAAGAAAAGCTTTATTTTCTCAAGCAGAAACGGCATGCTTCATAATGCTCCTTTTTATTTTAATCCATACAGGGAGAAACACATTAAGTAGATTTGAGCTAGGATTAAAATGCATGAAATATCTGCAGCTTCCCTGAAATTGCTGCTCTTTAATGTTCTAAATTAAGAGAGAAGTGGCGCATGGTCTTGTCAAGTGATAATCCTGGCAGGCCAATTATTTTTAATACAGGACTGAAATAGTTTATCATCTCACCTGGTATTTTAATCAGCCTTTAGCTAACCATCTATAATAGCAAGCTCTTTTTTTGGGAAACTAGGATTTATTTAAAGCGTTATAAAAAAAAACATATAGTGCTGCAGACCCAGGCACATACATGGTTTGCATGCCTGTTTATCTATTTTAAGATTTTGGCTCCTCTCAGTTCCTCTGCTGAAAATGCTTCTTCCCTGGTTACCATCTTCCAGTGGCTCCATCTCTTAAAGGGTCACATAGAGTTACCTTTGCATGTTCTATCTTGGCTGGCAATAGAGGGATCTTCTTCCATCCACAGAAAGATAACCCTGGTGGCAAGTCACTCCACTGCTCCTCCCTCCTCCAAGCTGGAGCCTGTGCTGTTCCTTGTAAATGTTGTATGTGAAGGGCGCAGGGTGTGTGCTCCCATACCCAAAAGTTTGGGGAAGCAGCACTGTAAATCTGGAGCTGGTGGCAGTTATCAGGGAAACGATGTAGGCGCTTGGGCACACTAGGGCATGTAAATTTACTATGGCATATTTTACCTTAATGTTGCGAATACATTTAAGTCTTATGGGTGCTATAGTAAGTGAAGAATGAGATTTGAACAGTGAAGTTCTCCAGCCGCATCCCCATACACCTTTACTACTTTTCCATCCACAAAATACCTTATATTTTTCTGATAGACTACAAAGCGTTCTGTGATTAAAGAGGAGGGTCGGGCATGTGACATAAATCTCTCCTCCTCTAATCACATAATGCCTTGTATAAAAATACAAGGCATTATTGTGAATGGACAAGTAGTGAGCAGGGATGGGGATGCAACGTGAGAATTCCACTGCTCGAGTCCCATCCCTCAGCACCTGTAAGCCAAGTGTTATATATAGGAGACAGCATGCTGCAGGTTAAGATTTTTATACGTTGCAGCAGCCCTCTCCACATAGCATGGAGCTTTTTAATGACAATTGACACACCCAGTATGATATGTCAATTATAATTTTTGACCAGAGTTTGGCTTTAAAAGACAATTATGGTGGGGTAAGTGTTTTTCCCCATAGTTCTCTTTGAGGTCACGAGAGGGCATATACTAACCTCCTCTCTTGACCCAAAGCTCAGAATATCGCAGGCTATTTCCTGCGATATACTGAGAGCACCACAGCCAGGACAGCTGCCTGATTGACAGCGTGCTCTGCCGATCTAGAAGCAGTCAGCTCTGGAGGATCGGAGAGGGGAGGGGGGAATCCCTGTGGCGAGCGCTGACTGACAGTCACCGCTCTCTGCAGGGAGATGATTGGAAAGTGAGCGAGCAACAGTATGTGTTCACTCACTTTCTGATCAATAGAGCCAACCTGTGACAGCTTCTTTGTCACAATTTGGCTCTAACTATAAGGATGAGTGGAAATCACTCACTTCATAGTTCTCCTTTAAGATAAAAAATGATTTAGTACTATAAAGAGCAAGAACGTGCATCACTTAAGCTGACAGTACATGTCTGTTCAATATAATCTGTTCATGTATGGCTAACTTTAAATATTTAAATAGTATTTAAACAGATTTATAAGGTTATAGCTCCTACTGATGATGGGAAACAAAAGTACGGCCATTAATTATACAGCACGAAGAAAGACCAGAACTCTTTGTAAGATACAGCTCTTTTACTGCAAACAGCAATCACATACATGTGTTTTCAGGGCATGCAGGTCTTCCAACAATAATTACACAGGGAAAATCTGTGGCTCTGCCACTTACAGACACATGCCCTGACAAATATGGCCCTGACAATTAGGGATGCACTGATATATCGGCCGTCGAAACATATCACCCGAAATTGGAACTTTTGGCATAATGCAGAAAGTGCCATTTTCCTGCCGATACAGCGGTGCATCCCTGCTTTCTTTCCTCCCTGCTGGGCGCTGCTCTGTGTCCCAGCGTGGAGGAGAGAAACTGTGATAGCCGGCCGAGCGCTGCGGGAGGAGAACGCTGTGAGCGGCCGTCGGCTCCTCCCACACCGCTCAGCCTCCTATCACAGTCCGGCAGTGCGGTGTGTGGGCTGAGACAGGTGTAGGGAGGAGGCTGAGCTTTCCTCCCTACACCACTCGATCAGCCTCCTGTGACAGCGTGTCAGAGAGGAGAACGGGTACAAGCAGTCGGTGATCGGTGATCGCTGAGTGTTTGTACATGATTGAGGACATGGTATGTGTACTATATTCTCAATTATGAATGAATGGGAGTGATCTGCATTACCTCCTGTTCATTCATAGTTGTAGTTATAGTAAACACACTATGTTATCAATGAACAGGAACACTCAGTATAGAGGATTCCTGTTCATTGTTAACAGGGGATACAGAAAAAGAGATTGAGGACTTTGTGTCCTCAATCTCTTTTTCTATTTTAAAAAGGGAAATATCAGGGGTCTGTTTAGATCCCTAAAAGTAAAGTAAAGAATAAAAAATATTTAATAAAAAATGAATTGATAAATAAAAAAAATAAAAAAAGTGTATAAAAAAAATAAAAATAAAATATTTAAATAATGTGAAAACATTTAAATAAAAAACATTTTCGGTATCAGTTTCGGTTTCGGCCTGACAATTTTTTTTATTTCGGTTTAGTTTAGGTTTTTTTAAATTTCTATTTTGGTGCACATCTACTGCATAATAGCCACTTTCATTAGCACTGAAAATAGATCTGGGTGTCATATGGTATACCATGGCTTTTATATAAGAGTTAAACGTACTGTTAGATGGTATTATACACAGCTTAACACAAGAAGAAATACACAATTAATGCATTTCCTTTTACAGCAGTTTGAAAGAGATTTGAGGAGATATGCATCCCATGAAAAGAAGATGATGTTGGATAACCATGCCATGTATGATAAAAGCAAGGTACTGTATGTTCTATAAAGATGCCAAGGTGTTTTGTAATTACAATGAAGTATCGGACAAAGCTGTAGAAATTCATGTTGTCTTATTTGTAAATTTGAATACTAAATACAAATTAAAGATTTGTGATTTATTATATTAAACCAAAAGATAAAGCACACCTGCACCACCAAGGGAGGACTGGGCTGGGGTGTAGGGGGCATTTTCTGCCTGGGCTAGGACAAATAATATACTGTATGTCTGATGCCTCTGAGTCGATATGCCCCCTATTAAGTCAGAGGGGGACTTGCAATCAGTGATAGTTGCTGGATATTATACTGTATAGCTATCCACTTCTTCTTCAGACCAATGACTACAGCACCTCAGAGAGGGAAGTCTTCCAGCACCAACCTACTTTGTGGCTCTGAGATGTTGTAGTACTGAATGAAGAGAGCTGCTAAGAAGGTCACTGCTGGAAGAATGTAAAACTGTGAAATTTGTTGTGTTTTAATAGAATCTGTATGATAATGACTGCTTGTGAAGATGATATGATGTTTTAGTTAGTAATTTAACCCCTTAGTGACTAGTGACATCCATAGCACGTCACTGGCACCAGGCCCGTTTAAACAGACACCCTGCGGCTAAAAACGACGGGACTCTGTTTACAATTGTAAAGCCGACTGAAAAAAAGGCATCGGTCACTAAGGGGTTAAATAGTAGTTAGAATTTATGAGTCCCTTATCATTTTTACAGGGCAGCATTCATCGTGTTCAGTTCATATAGTACTTCTTTACAATCCAACCATTCCAATCCCCTATATATAAATGCAAAAAGCTACGTTATCAGTTAATAAACCATCTTACATAAAGCAACACCCACCTCTCACCAAGACCATCAGCTAGCATGGCACACTTTGTACAGTGCTATTTTAGCCCACAGGAATCTGTTTCAACTTTCTATCATAGATAGGGCCAGTCTGTTGCCTTCCAGGTCAAAAGTTTCCAGTCCTCCCCTGCACAGCACAAATAAGCAAGATTTTTTTTTTAGTGCTACAAGATGCATGGCTTTTCGACTTACTTGAGTCTACAGACATGTATAAAAGCAAAGCATAAAGAATCCTAGCAAAGCATGAAGGGTAATTTTCCCATTGGAGATATGGCACTTTTCTTCAAGCGGGCATGCTTGCATAAACACATACATACACACACTTGATCTTTTTTGGTAGTATGGTTCACTTAAAGAATAATTGTGCTTAAAAAGGCACCTTTAAAATGATGTTACCAATGTATCCCTCTCCTGGCCACGCCTGTTCAGTACATCCCTTTTGACTTCAACAGGGCTATTATCATTGCTAGGGGTTACATGTACTTTAACCAGTTGACATCCGCGGTGTTAAACCCCCTTCCCATCCAGGCCATTTTTCAGTATTCAGCGCTGCGGTACTTTGACATTTATTCCGTCATGCAACGCTGTACTGAAATGAATTTTATACCCTTTTTTGAGGACAGATAGAGCTTTCTTTTGGTGGTATTTATTCACCACTGGGGTTTTTATTTTTTTACTATATTAAGGAAAAATCACCGAAATTTAAAAAAAAAACCAGTTTCCCCTATATTAAATGATAAAACATTTATTATTACCCAATTTTTTGGTAAAATATACAAACGGTCACGTCGGGTAAAAAGACACCAAACATGTCAAGCCTTAAAATTGCGTGCGCGCGCGAATCCTCAAAAAACAATACCTAAAATTGGCCATAGGCAACACTTTAAAAGCTGTTACCGCTCATCAGTTTAGTGTTATCAGTGATTGATGGCCCTAATTCAAGTACCTTAACTATTAACAAAAATGTATCTTATTTGTGTATCACTCGACTGTAGATCCTCAAATCATCTCTGAATTGGTGCTGACACTGCCCTTACTTCTGGAGAGTGGCTACTTTTGTTCCCCATGGTCCCTGTGTGTGTTGTAAAGTAGTCACCGCTCCAAGCTCCCTTCTGTGGTGGACTACAAACTCACGCTTAGTTTACTAATTTGTATTAGGATTGTAGTCAATCACAGGAGCAAGCTTGGAGCGGAGACGACTTTACAACACACACAGGGACCATGGGGAACAAAAGTAGCCAGCCACCAGAAGGAAGGACGGTGTCAGCATGAATTCAGAGATAAATTGAGGATCTACAGCGGAGTGATGCACAAATGAGATACATTTTTGTTAATAAGTAAGGTGCTTGAATACATCTTTAACATGAGTTTAGTGTCACTTTAGGGTGTATGACGGGCCAAAAAAAACGCCTTGAGTTCAACATGCACATTTCCCAATGTTGTATCACTATAAAAACACTTCAAGTACAGAAAATACCTATTGATCTGCAAAGAATGCAATGTGTTTCTAACTTCCTTTTTTGACAGACAACAAAGTGTCTCTGTTGCACTAATACACTGATATATATATATATATA